CATGTTCTAAAACAGGGGATTGAGGATTGCAAGTGGTCTACGCTACGAAAGACCATTGAATAGATCGCTGGCTTTGATTGTGAAGGTGGGTGGTGGGGGTGTCTTGGGGAGGGCTGACACCACGAGCGCTCTATTCATCATGTCGTCAATGGCCGCTTCTTGATAGCTGCCTGCATTCTTCCCGCTAAACTGGATGACAACATCACGGTTGACTCTTTCCACATACATGATCACTACATGTACTGGAGTGCCGTTTAGGCGGATGGTCCAAGTTCAGAGGGGTCGAAATTGTTGCCCCGCATCTTGTTTTGGTAGTTGTCTTGGCAGCCCCCCAAAATGCAAGGTCGTGTTCCCTGGTATAAATCTTACGACCTGGCTGATGTACATCAATGTAAACATTGTTGTCGCTGTGCATTGCACATGCACTACCCTTCCACGCGCCTTTGAAAATGCTACATACTCCGATGTAACCTGGTTGTGGGCCCTTGTGGGCCCCTGTGGGCATGCGTAGTCTGGCCTTGCCACTCTTGGGCTCAAGCAAAACTTATAGATCTGGAAAACGCCTCTGGAGTTCCAATTCCAGATCCTCCTCAAACTTGAACACATTTTCCCTTAACCCCCGGAGTTCCTTGGGAAGTTCTAATTCTTCTGTGAAACTGTCCTCGTCTTCGTCACGCTCTTGCCGCCAACACCAAGGGGACGTCGCTTCTCCTCTGCCACACCAGCCATGGTTCTGGGCCTCTGGGCCTACCAGCAAGTCGTTCTAGCTTGATAGCTGCGGTACTGCTGGATCTGGCGACCAAGCTTGCACGTCCCATGTCAAGTGTGCCCGAGATCAGAAGTAGAGGATTCACTACGTATCGTGCCGTATTCACAACTTCTTTCATGTGTGCTTTGGGAAGGAGAAGACTTCCAATCTCCGTAACGATGGCGCGTGCACAAGTACCGTACAGTGCCTTGCCGTACGGTACCAGGGGTACCGTACCGGTGGTACCTTGACGGTGGGAACCCTAAATTTGTTGAAAGATTTTTGTTAAGGATAGTCGAATGGTGAGGTGACACCGTGAGACTTCTTCGGTGGAGCTGATCGCACCAGACGGACAGTGACTCAACATTGCTGTTTGCTGTTAATTGCTGTTGCTGTTGCTGTTGCTGTTGCTGTTGCTGTTGCTGTTTGGGTCCACTTATTAACAAGCTTTCTGTCTCAGTTGGCAGCCCTGCCTGTGTTGTGTTTCTTTTTTGTGGCTGGAGTATATGGATTGGATCCAGCAACAAGAAGCAAAAAGTAGAAATGGGCTGCTGTTCGAGTTCTCCCCATGAGCGACGACGGTACTTGGATCCGGCTGATTTGGACGAAGAATATGTGAACACTCTCCCAGACCCCAACATCCGATTGCGTACGTTTGGGCGCTACCGTCCCAACCAAGTGTTTGTCCCCGACGACATTGACGGTCTCCCTTCCTCTCGCATTAGGGACAAGTTGGCCACCAGTCCAGACACTCTGTTGTACACGGCCGAAATTGACAATGGCATGGCCTGGCGTTGTGTGCGACCGTGTTGGATTGTGTTTTTTCAAATCCTATTGACGAACGGCTGCAAGGTTCATTGTGACGAAATGTGTTGTTGGCTTCGCAAGGAGTACAGCTCGCGCACATACTATCGCGTCTATGCGAATCGCATTGAAATCAACAATCCATCTGCCCGTGTGTTTGGCATGTTGGGCTGTGGTTCCTGGGCAGCCGATCACGTGTTGAGTCATCCATTTGATCGAGGTGCCTTTGGCTTTCGCCGCGTCCCACGGGGAGTCCTGCCATTGGTGTGTTGTGTCTTTCCTATGTTTGGAGATGTGGTGGCACGGCAACGCTGTCAATGCAATGGACCTCTTTGGTATTCCTGCACGGATGGATGGTGGTGTGACGAATGGCCTTGTGACATGATGTGTTGTACCTATCGCTATCAAGGACTCGCTGATGGAGACGAATCCGCCATGGCTTCCAGCTTGGCCTTGCAAGCGTATTTTGAAGGACGCTCTTTCACGCAAGCGCAAATGGAACAGTGTTTGCAGTACTGGAGAGATCATGTCTCGGAAATGGGAGATCCTGTACATCGTAAACGACCTGTGCTCTGCCAAGACACCTGTTCTGTACCCTCATGTGTTCCTTCAGAAAAGATATACCAGTCTATCTGTCAATGTCCACGCAAAATGCCTCCCCACTACGAACCCACACCTGAACTCCAACAAGTTTATGACCAGTACGAAACACAACGACAAAGACAAATCAAACTCTATAAAGAATTCAAGGAACCCGTACGATTATCGACCTGGTGTCGCAAATTGGCCTGTCAACGCTGCTTTGGACGCAAAGGAGTCGTCTTTTGTACCGAAGGATGTTGTTGTGAAGATGACAACACGCACAGAACTATGGGACGCTGCTATAGCAACCTCAAGCAACAAGCACTACCACAAGACGACAATCCTCCCTTTGCACCCTACAGTCACGCCGATTGGGACGATGACCACAATGCTGCCACCATACTCCAACAGGTACTGGGAAATCCGCCCCCAAATGTCGTCTACCGAAAATGGCAGTACGATCCAGACACAAAACAACACATCGTGGTACAGTCGCCCTCCATTGTAGTAGCCACAAACAGCAGCAATAATGACAAGAACTATGCAGATAATGGACATTACAACCAAGATGACCAACCAGTCGTTGCTATCAATGGACATCCAAAGAATGGGATGCATCATCGACGCAAACAACAAGATCAAGTTTATCATCTCCAGAACGAAAACAGTTATGAAGTGGTGGTTGACACATTCGACGATGAAGCCGCCGGAGCAGCCATTAGCAGTGCCACCAATAGCAGTTCCGAGGATGGACCCCATCCTCTGTCTCACGCGCCGTGCACTCTACTCAAGGGAGATTTTTGAATGAGTATGGCAATTGCTTCATGCAGCCGCCCTTGCTTCTGTGAGAGTCCTTGACACAGACGAAACGAGTTCACAACAGGCAAGCACACTATTCCCCTTTTCTCACAATTTAGCTGTAGAATCGAGACACCCCCCCACCAATGCAGCTCCTCGACAATCCACATAGGCAAGTTCATGCCATGACAAGATGTTCGTTCAGAGCAGTTTGTTGCAGCAAGCGCAATGTGGTGCACATGGTATCTCTCGAGTATGTAGAGACCCTTGCAGGAGTTTCAAAGAGGTCTGCTTGACAGCCAATCAACCAATGGAGGTGAAACAAGAAAGATTGCAGCTATGGAAGCAGTGACAGAGTTACATGTTCTTGACCTAGTTACTTTGGATTCTTTGGACGACTTCCGATGACTACTTCCAAGGAGCGACCGAGATGGTCGCTTCATCTTCTACGGAGCGACCATGACGCCTCTACCGCTTCCGTTCGACGGAGACTCCTCTTTCACGAAGCGACAATGACGCCGCTACTGTTGCCGGTAGGAGCTATCGATACCTACGGATCGACGCGAAGATTGCGCCGGGTCGATCGATCGATACTGCCCGGAGCGACCATGGCCATCCTACCGGTATCTATCATCGTCACTTGGCGTTGGATTATGTCTTTGACGAGAGGATGCGGTCGGTTGCATGTAGCGTGGTTGCTGCTGCGGTAAGTTGCTCTTTGTTGTGGTTTTTGTTACTGTTGGTATTGCTGCTTGGCTTTTGTTGATCAAAGTTAGTTTCCGTCGGCTGCTGTTCACTCTCACGAAGGCACGGTGCCATGAGCACCTTGTCCTTTTCCTGGTTCCTGGTGTTGATTTCATGTTTCGATCCATTCGACTTTGAAGGTCGAACGATCGAAATTTCATGTTTGGAGTATCGACATGGAAAAAAGTTACATGAAATAAGTGAGGTGGAAACTCGATATTTGGGCATCGAAACTTCAAACATCTCTCGATTAATTGGGACACGGTAATGACTGACCTTCTTGCGCTCGGGGCTTTGGAGTGGTTGATGGTGACACCATGTGTTTGGATTCCCCCGAAGAAGCCCATAGACAATGTTTAAGATATCCTCCTCTGTGCAAGGGTCTTGTTTTTCCTGGTCGAAATAGAATGCCTTTTGTGTAACTTGCACCACCAGCTTTACAAAGTCAGCTTTCGAAGTTTGTGGGTTGTGTGCATTCTTGCGTTGAAAACGATTGAGGGTTGTGTAAAAAGGCAGCAAATGTTGACTCGGATGAAGAGGGCTGCAGAGATTGCCCTCTTGGTTGTTGTCCGTGACTCCATCAATGAAATGGACAACTTGTAGTGTTGAATTGGACTTCCGGAGGATATCCGTCAACTTTTGATGGTATCGTTGGAACTTGTCAGGCGCGGTATCCCCCTGATAATAGTAAAACCCTGTGAGCGTATCATTGCTTTCGAGCGCATTGAGAATTGGATCCAGCCCTCTTGCTGTCTTGTCACTTGATGCTTCAATAATCAAGGATTCCAACCAATCGTCGGTTCTGAGGAAACGACTGATGGTTGCTGTCACTGCAGATGCAGCAGCAAGATCGGCTTTTACAAGCTTGATATCCAACGATTCCAGACATGTCATCCCATCCAGGCAATGCTTGAGGAAGCCAACGTCCAAGGGACCCATATCCAAACGCAATATTTTGAGACTGCACTCTGCCAGCAGCTGCGCGAATTTTGTTTCTGTATTGAACCACGTTGGCCTTTTTTGTTGCCCCATGTCTGGGATTCGAAGTAGCAGACGATGGATGCCTTGATTGGAAACGACACCTTGGACAAATTGAGAAAATGCATCCAATTCCCACGTGTCACACCAACTCTCCAAGGATATAATATTGTTGCTGCCTAGTATTGGTTCCATGCTTACCAATGCCTCCATGTCCAATGCCGTCCGTTTCAAGGGTGAATTTACAATATCCTCACCTACCCAGGGAAAGATACTGGGCAGATCATCCATGATAAAATCCTTGGGCAGGACCAATCGTTGTACCTTGCTTGCCACCATTTGGAAGAGGGCCTGGGTCAGTTCCTTGCTGTACTTCCAGTTGAGGACCAATCGCAAGGAATGTGGCATCCGAAATTCTGGTCCTGGTGGCACTAGCATATCTGGATTGATTTCTGCCAGCAGTATGATTTCACTTTCGGTGGGTCTGTCCGGTCCCGGGCCTTGTACCACGGCCAATATCAGAGTCGCGTCATCCACCAAATTGGGGCGCACAGAGGCCAGAAAACCCACCACTCCCGGCTTTGCTCCGCTTATGAGGACATTGCGAAAGAGATTTTTGGTCAAAGCTTTCGGATAGAACTCGTAAAATATTTTTACGGTTTCCAAGTCTGCCTTGGCCATCAACACCATTTCCAACGGCTGATTCTTGGAAATAGTCCATTTGCTGGTGGCGACTGGATTATCAAGTGCACCAAACAGAGCTGAAGCGTCCATGGTATCAATCAAGGGTAGCAATGGCATTGGGCGGTGGGGAGATGCTGAAGGTTGTGTGTGTTGCGGGCTTATTGCTTTTGTCGCTTGGCTTTTGGCTTTTGGCTTTTGGCTTCTCGTGGGTTCTCGTGGGTTCTCGTGGGTTCTTTTGCGAGTGACGGGAAAGATCGTTGATTAGAGCTAAGGCTAATGCGGTTCTCATTCCCTTCCAGTTCGCTTCGGCGGTTCGCTTCTTGCCTCTTCTCTATGCATACCGTACTGGTAGCTACCATGGTAGCTATTAATAGTAGTTTCCACCTCACTCGCCTCTTCAATGCGGTGGCTCATCAGTCATCATAACGTACCGGTAGTCTCACTCATCTGGATCCAACAAAGCAACATCACCTTGTCCTTTTAATCAAATTTAACCATGAAAGCATTGATTCTTTTGTCGACGTCTCTCCTTCCAGTGGTGGATTCGTTCAGTTCCTGGATGGCCCCTCTTGGTGGCCATTCGTCGGCTCCCTCCGCTCCAATCACTCCTCCCCTTCAGCAAGTGCAGCCAACCCAACCAGTAACAGACATTGACAGCTACGAGACTGCCTTTTCCATTATCGACGACTGTACCATCCAGGAAGAATCCAACGAGAATCTGTTCCGGGCCGTCAAGTACATTGAACACAATAGCTACAAGTTCTACAACCATCCCGCATCGAAAACGCAAGCACTCTGGAATCGAGCGCACGGATCTTGGAAGTTGATTCTCTCCACGGGAAGTCCCACGTGTCAGTCCTTTCATCCACCGCCGGCCTTCTTGCCCTTTTCCTATGCCATGATTGACGACGAACACTTTGGAAATGGCGTGGGACTGAACGATCATACCATTTGGTTGTCGCTGTTGCACAAGCACGATTTCAATCACCGCATCCGACACATGGTCGTCCAGGTTCAGCACGTCTTTTTGGGTGGACGCAAACTCGAGTTGCCGGCGTTTTTCTCCAAAGCAAGCAAACTACTGCGAGAACGACGACAACGACAACCCAATGAGACGACGACGCAGACGCAAAAGAACGACAACAAGCCCCCACCCACCTTTGTCATTTTGGGGGCTTCGGAACATGCCCTGATTGCACGGGGAAACCAGTCCGGTGGGTTGGCCATTTGGAAGCGAATGCCACACGATATTCGACCCATTGCCTACAAGGGATACGAACCAAAGAAGTAGAATGGTTTATGCATCCAGTCTGATCCAGGCCAGAAGTACTGAGCCAAACCGAAGCTGCTAGCTAGTAGCAAAGCTGCATTTTACATGTTATATTATAACACTGAGCAAGGAGACCTCCCTATCGGTTGGTATTTGGAGTGAGTACAGGCTACTCACCGCGCAGTTTGTCGTCATCTCGTGTTCGTGTTGAGTCGTCTACTTGGGACTTGGGCTACGAACTATTGTAAGAGACCCATTGTTCATGAGATAGCAAGGTGGCATGGACATAGCCATGCAATGTTTCCTCCAATCTTCAGCTATCGGTTCTAGCTAGCGAGTATGTGACAGTCCTAGTAGCAATATCAGTATCTCCAACAAGCACACCGAACACACATGCATCCTCTTCTCGCCAGCAAGGTGAGAGCATGCATCCTCTGCAGCAGACTTGGCCAAAGTCTTACCAAGACGTACCCTCCTCCTTTCTTCTCGGTGGACTGGGAGGGCAAGATGCTCCTGTCTGGGTACTGTGGGGCTCGTGTTGCACGAAAGAGCTGGGGTTCATCATCACCTAGCGGTACTTGCCACTCTTGTCCAAATGCGTTGGGGTCCGACAGAATGGTAGGTCCATCCCAGTGTTTGACACGCACTACAACCAATGTGGAAAGTGTCTCGAGGAAGAAAGTTCCTTCTTTTCGATCCACCAAAAAGGCAACAGCGTCCCACAAGGACCGTACCAGTACCTCGAGCTCCTTTTTTGATTCTCAATTGGTGCCTTTGAGTCAACCGCCAGTTATGCATGACCGCCTAAACCTGGTTCGCCAACAACCCAAGAAGCAATACATGCGGGATAGCCATAGCATGCATCCACTCTTCTCCTCCCGTGACGGTTGGTCTTTTTTGGCAGCCACCGGCCATACTCCAGCCAGAAGTAGCAGCCAACTTTTAAGCAATGCAGCATGCCAACAGCAGGGTATCCTCGGACAATTTTGGTCCTTTTATGCCTCGTTGTGAAGAATCTTTAGCCGCTGTCAACTGTTGCGCGACTACATTTTGTGGAGTACTTGGCGAAGACTTATGAAACGGTCTCAAAAAGCAGTTGGAAGAATGTTCTTGAGACGTGTATCTGGTACCATGACGTGTGCCTCATTTGTTTTATTCACGATCTTTCTCCCTGGCTTCTTTTGCAAAGATGATGAGCCGGAGCGGAACATCCATTGCAGAGCGTCAAGTCAAGAGCTTGCATAGTAGAATAGCATCAGACTCCATTCATTGATTAGCGCAACGAAGTTAAGCAGAGGACAGGAACCATGGATGGTATCGACGCTTCCCTACTAGTGGATCAGGCTCCAATCATGCCTGCCGCCAACGAAGATACCCTTTCGGAAAAATCGGAAGCGGAAAGATCGGGAGCTTCTGGTTCTGTGAAGAACCCAGCGACCACGATGATGATGGATGAGGAGATGGGTGCTTCAATGGACTCAGAAGATGGGCTGAACTTGATAGAAAAAGAGAGCAAAAGTGAAACAATGATGGATCCAGTGGTTGCAGAGCCAGCAAAGAGCATTGAGAATGAGAATGACCAGCAGGATGCTTCTCTAACTGCAACAAGCACACATGCGTCCGCAGAGGATGCACTGGAGCAACCCATCAAGGACAATGATGCAACAGAGGAACCAGGAAACATACCGTTAGCAATGGATGCAGAGGAGAAACCAACATCTACCGGATCGCCTGATGATGAGAACAGCGTAGTGCAGAACGTGGAAAGTAGTGAGGAAACTGTCGTGGATTCAGTTGGTTCACCAGCAGACGACGATGGTGATGGAAGAGACGAGCCTGGCGATGAAGAGCTCGCCCTCCCAGGGGACAAACATTCAGCCAGCAACAGCCTTGGATCTTCCACCATCGAATCAGAAGGCCAACAGAACGATGACAATGTGATTCCAGAGGTGGGAAAGCCCACTCTGATGCCCCTCGACTCCTTTGTGAGTGAGGATACTCGTCCCGCTGAAAATAGTCATGACAACCAAGACTCTTCTTCCGTTGTGCGGGATGACGTTGTTGCTGATGATGAAGAATCTGCGCTTCCAGAGGCACATCCAGAAGCACTCTACAATCTGGCACAATCTCTGGGATCCATGCTGGACGGTGGTGATGACAAGGTTAATAGCAACAAGAAGAAACGCCAACTGGAAGAGACGGCACCTCTGGTCAAAGACAAACAGAAGAAGGTCGAATGGCCCGACATCACCAAGACTGATGTGACAGCACTTATCATTGCAGTAGCGTTTGCAGTAGTGCTGGGGATAGTCTACCTGCGTGCCGACAACAACGTTGCGCCAAAGCATGTTCCAAACAACAGAGGAGAACACTTTGTCAGATCGACGACAGCTCCAATGCCAACTCCAGCTACAACTGAAGGCAGCCTGGACAATGCCGACGGAACAGAGATAATCATCCTTCACGCATCAACCAGCACATCAAACTACAGCTACACGACAAGCGAAAAGAACAGCAGTGCCAGTGGCAACTTTAGTGAAGATGGATCGGGAAAGTCTTGGTTTGTCATCGGAGGCGACAACAAAGCACACAACGAGAGTACCGTTTACATCTCGACGGACACTGACGCAATAGAGGAGCACCAACCCACATCATGGGATCAGTTTCTCCCTTTTACATTTCATGGCGAGATTGCCACGGATATTTCACATCTCTCTTCCCTCAAACGCCTCAATTTGAGCTCGGACAATCTTGCGGGGCCCATTCCCAGCGAAATTGGACTCCTTTCCAGCCTCGAGCAACTCGATTTGAGCCACAATTTCTTGTCAGGCCAAATTCCCTCGCATCTAGGATTGCTAAGTGACCTGCAAGTGCTTGTCTTGGGACACAATTTCCTCCAGGGGTCTATTCCCAGTGAGCTTGGCTTGCTGACCAACCTGCGCGTTTTGATTCTGTCTCACAATGAACTGGGAACGGGAATCGACACCAACAGCACAAGCAGCATTCCCACGGAATTGGCCCAATTGACCTTATTAGAACAGTTCTACTTGGAAGGGGAAAGAAATCAAATATCTGGAATGCTCCCCTCCGGTATGTGCGAGTTGCCGCGGTTGGCATGGAACGGAACTACGCCTGGGCTTTGGTTGAACTGTGATCACATCCCTTGTCCATTGCCAGCAGAGTCCTGTCCCTGCACGTGCGAAGCACCCGGAGGATTTGCGAGCCGTTAGCTGTAGGTAGGATGCATTTGCCCAAGCAATGCATGCAGTTTTGGAAACTGCTTGCATTGCCTGATGCCCGAAAGGCAGCACAATGAACGTGCCAAGCCAACTGTACACCACGATTCTTGACTCTATAATATTGTAAAAAGATGCCTTCAACGTATTTGTGAGGACAATGGAAATGTTGTCTTTGTCTTGACGAGCGAGGTACATGTACTTGCCTCTCCTGAAGCAAATAGACGATGAAGGTCATTGGTTCTATAGGGCACAACCCTTCGTTCGGTTGGTACCGTACTCGAACAGTTTTTGTTGCACCTATGCTAGCGACTCGGAGCTTGTTCCATGCCTCGCAGGTGCATTATTTATTAGCCAGGAGAGCTGAATTCATTGCACTCGTTGCAAGTTGCAAGATCTCGAAGGGCATCCAAGTTAGAATACGAAGTATGGTATCTGACAGAAAGGGGAGGAGATCATATGATTCTAGTCTGTTTGCGATGAGGCTACCGTCTTGCCTGGTCACCTAATTGCGAGATACCGAGGTACTGGACCTACGGAACCCTGCTGTAAAGGGCAGGGACTTTAGAGCTTGCAATCAGAGGACAAGAGAGCCACAGCAACTAGAAGGATTGCTTTTCTGGCTGCAAAGCCTGGTCCATTGATGCGTTTCTTCAGACAGCGGTGCCTCTGAGGACTTTTGGAGCACGAACCAACTAGCTAGCTAGACCACTGCATCAAGCGTCCATACTGATCGGAAACATTGGCGGTGATAATGGGTATCAATTCTCTCATACCTCGGACAGCCCTAGCTAGAGAAAAGATACATCAATTCAGATTGGGAACGGCCTGTGGGCGAGAAAGCAGAGAGGAGCTCCGAGATAGCACAGTGGCTGCGAAGCTAAGTAAGTATCAGTACATGTAGCATTGGAATATACTACAGTAGTAGTGGGCAATCAGTGTCTACTAAGAGAATGATTTGAATAATCAATTGTTTGCTTTTTCATTTTAAAATACAAGATATTATGGTACAGTGTGGGAAAGCAGTCATTCCTTATTGTCTGTTTTGTTGGGCCATCTTTCCGGCGCGTGCATCTCGGTTTCGCAGCACTTTATTGCGGAGTGACATCAAGTGCTTGAGTGATTGTGGCTCGCTACTGGGAGCTGCTGCCTTTGTGGTACAGGGTGCTGGAAGAGCCACAGAGCTGATCTTCAGAGAAAAACTGGCGTCCAAGTCATCTTCGTCTTCGATGATTTGATGTTCGTTCTTCCATTGCTGGATCTCCTGGAGCAACTTGGTGTTTTCCACAAAGTCTTCCGGATGAAGGGATGTGCGGGTCAAAGGGCAGGTTGCCTTGCCAAAGTAGATCCATTCCATAATAGCGCTGCGTTCAAAGCTGTGCTTGGTGACCTTGTGCTGGAGTGGATGAGACATGACCTCCATGGAGATGGGGCACAAGAAGTGTTGGGGAGCGTTTTCCAAAGACATGATGATGATGGTGTTGTTGTGTTGTTGTGTTTTTGCGTTTGGGCTTTTGAAGTTGTGAGATTGTGAGATTGTGAGAGAGAGAGCCCTCGAGGGAAGAGGGAACGGAAAAACCAGCAATTTGGGATTGGTAGCAAAACCGAGAATCCGATGGATAATCTTGTAATCTTGATGGCCACATCACGGCTTCCTAACGAATCCTATACCATGTGCCCTTTGCGAAGTGGTGCCAGCGTACCATGGTACCTGAGCTGTACTAGAGTTGTACCAGAGCTGTACCAGTGCCAACAAAATGTCCAAAAGAAACCAAATTTCACCACTTTCTAATCTGGACAGCTTCTCGACACATTGGACATGTTGTTAGTTTTGGTATGGAACAGCTTATGGAACAATGATTTTGAGTTGGACGGGACTGTTATAACCTTGAAAAATACTTGAGATTCAGATTGTTCGCATTCAATGGGTAAAACAGGACCCTTTTTAACATGGTGCTTTTATTGGGTTTGCAATGAGAACCAGTTGACACTTTTGTACGTCAGGCTGCATGTCAGAAGGCCCACTGCCCCACAGACCCAGTTTTTGACGCCCTAATATCCGCCTTCACTCATGTTTGTCTGTGGTCAACTCGAATCTCGAATGCCAAAACCGAAGGCTCAACAATTGCCTGCCTAAGACCCAGTGCCTTCTCTGAGTTCATTGGGGCAGAAAATGAATTAAAGAGAGCAATAAGGAATGATTGTGGTGCATGCGGTGCTTTGGGAGCTTGGGTCGATTCGTCGATTCTGGTACCGAAAATAATAACAAATAACATGGCGAAGGTACAAATAAATAATATCCATAGCGGACGGTCCCAAGCTGTACCGGTACCTGTTGTTGGTACATAGGTGCGGTACCGGGATGTGCGTGAGACATATGGGAGCTTCTAGTTTTGCGAGTGGAGAAACAAGAAAGCCATGATAGCAGCAGGGTGTGGGACTCACATGAAATACACGCTGTGGGTACACGATGTGAGTACGGGTATTGAGTACTGAGTATACTCGATACCCATACTCACTTGACCCTCGAAAATGTGAGTAATACTCAATACCCGTACTCACATGACTCCGGAATCTGAGTACTTTTTGAGTCTTCGGTGAGTACTTCGGTGAGTACTTCGAAGTGAGTACCAGTGAGTACTCGGTGAGTACTCGGTGAGTATTTTGTGAGTACCGAGTGAGTATTTCGCCAACTCGCAGCCCCATAAATTTCCCATTTTCTCACATTGAGCTTGTTCATTGAAGCTTTGAAGCCACTGTTGAGCCACTGTTGACTCTAGCTAGCCACTCTTTTGTTCTGTTGTCTCTTCTGTTGTCACCATGGCTGATGTGGAGGATGATGACATCTTGTCACAGGCAGCGATTGAGGAAGCTGTCAATGGAGCCGATGGATTGGAAGAACCGGAACAAGAAGAAGAAGGTGATATCGAAGAAGAAGAAGAAGATGAAGAAGCTGCAGCTGCCGATGATACCATGGCCGCGGCAATGGGAACTGATTTGACTGCACAGTACGTGCAAGCCAAGAGTATTCCCACGCTCAGTCGCAAGCCACCCGGCCGTTCTGGCGTTTGGGAATGTTACTACAGTGTCGACATTCCCGACGCCGAACACTTGGAAAACCTCCAACCTTTGGATGATTCGGCCTACCAAAAGATCCATCAAGGAATTCTTTCGGGGAAGCAATATGTGGCGCGTGTCGTCATGCCTCGAGGATACCAGCAAGTCACTTTCCAAATGTCTATTCCGGCCAACCTACAAGAAATGTGGATCAGGTGGATTCGATGGCACTGGCAATCCTGGCAAACCATTTGTCGATTGCTTTCTGATTGGTGTCAACTCCTTCTTCCACAGGAGTATCCTCGATTCTCCTTCGTTTGGCTTCCTTTGCCAATGCAAGAGGTGTCGTTGGTTCGTTGCTTGGCCTGTGGTTTCTTCGGACTTGCATTTCAGTCGCTTGTTCGGCTAGGTCGAATTTGTTTCCCCACATCTGCTTGACCCAGACGTCAATATCGTCGTGGCTCTCTGCCGAACACCTTTGCCCATCAGTTTGTTTGCCGGGAGGGTATCCGAACATCGACAACAGTAGCAAGTGTTTAAAGTCGTCAAGCAATGTGTGTCTTACCGAAAGGATTACACATCATGGCGAGGAGTTTGTCATCCTGCTTAGAGCTTGAAAACAAGCACCATAGCGTCGCAACTCACTTTGGGATTCGCTGGAATAGTTTCTGTGGAATCTTATGGAGTTTCGCGACTTTGATTGTCCTCAAACAATCCTCTCAGTGGTTGAAGGAAGGTAAAGTCCTTCCGCGTCTTCTTTGGTTCATCAAACTGGGGAGAGCCATCAAACTTGGTTGGGTACCAACTTGCAGTGCCATTCCACTTTTCAGTGTCATTGGTAGCTTTGCTTCGGCGAGTCTCTGGCACCCAAACCACACTTGGAGTAACAATAAGAAGCAAACACACGGTATGTCCCATAGGCAGTATAGGAATTGGCACCATAGTGGCCGACTGGACAAAAGCAAACAAGCTTCAACATGGGGAATTCCACCGCAAGGGTTTGTGCACATGACATGGTATCTTAGAATCCTCCACCTCCGGACATGTATCGTAAAAATGCAATAGTGGTGAAGGTTCCACCGAGCTTGGATAAACGAAGCGTAGAACAAAGCTTCCCTCCGGCCCTTGTATGGTGTGACATGCAAAAGGCCCTGGGTATCCGGCTAGCAGCAGAGAGTGTGTCCGTGAACTTCTTCCATCTCCCCTTCGATTTCTTGTTGGCAACCACTTGGCGGTTTTCCTCGGCTTGTTTTCGAATAGCCTGACAAGCATCAAACTCGTCAACCACTACCTTGTCCTTGTAGCGTTCCATTTGACCGGTGGCATGCGAAAAAGCCACACTGAATCTCATGCATGGCACAGTAGGCATTTTCTCCACTCAGGTTGCGGCCCACCAATAGCGCCGTGTTGGTAGTGTCATTCATGGCCTTGTAGATCATTCGGTCCTCAATACAAAAGCTTGAGAATATCCATGATCTGATTCGTGTGGGCTCTCCCTTCTTGTCTTTAGATTCCGCCAGTGCAACGGAATTCTTAGATAGACACCCCTTTTGGGGTTGTAAAAGAAGATCGTCACTCCAAGTATTTCCTTCTTGTTAGAGTCCCAAACGTCATGAGCGACAGTAAGGAAAGACTTATGACAACAAAGGTTTTCATATAGTACTGGTCCGTCTCTCCTAGATGCATTCCAACCGCAGCCATGAAAGTTTGGTAATCCTTGGCTCTGTAGTTTGTATGGGCCATGCGTCCCATCAAGCCATTGTTGGGACATTTCAGAAGAGCGGCTCCATTCTGCATGGCATAGATCATCATGTCTCTGAATTCAGGACATGCTTTGTGGTCCGTCAAAACACGAAGAGGAATGTTGTTGTTTGTAGCATACCGATGCTGTTTTTCTGAAATATGCAAGAGCCTGGCTTTTTCCAGCCTCTCTACTCATTTCATGAACCATAGACCTTGGCTCGGAAAGGGTACTATGACTGATTGTGCTGGAATGTTGTTGCGGTACTTCCTGGGGAACAGGAGGAGCTGCCATTGGACCTACAGCAACAGCCGCCACCGATCGATTGGCAAATGTGTCGTAACGGAATGCACCTCTTTCCTTTGTGATTGCTTGCCACATTGGTAAGTGTTGTCCTCGAAGGTGTT